TCTTATTACTCTGGGTTCATGAGACACGCCTCCATTCAAGATATCCATTCCATAGTTTAAAGCCAACATGCATACACACCGATACTGGATCGGATCGGCCCCATCCCTAATTTTAAGCCAAAACCTCCTTCCATCAGTGAGAGCACTGAAGATGGAATGTGGCTGGGTCTTCCAGCATGACAATGATCCAAACACACAGCTCGGGCAACGAAGAGTGACTCTGTAAAAAGCATTTCAAGGTCCTGGAGTGGCCTAGCCAGTCTCCAGACCTCAACCCCATAGAAAATTTGTGGAGAGACTTGAAAGTCTGTGTTGTCCAGCGACAGCCCCAAAACATCACTGCTCTAGAGGAGACCTGCATGGAGGAATGGGCCAAAATAGCAGATACAGTCTGTGCAAACCTGATGAAGACTTACAGGAAACGTTTGACCTCTGTCATTGCCAACAAAGGTAATGTTACAAAGTATTTAGTTGAACATTTATTATTGACCAAATACTTAGTTTCCATCATAATTTACAAATAGATCCTTTAAAATGTCCTACAATGTGATTTCCTGGATGTTTTTCCTCATTTTGTCTCTCATAGTTGAAGTGTACCTGATGAAAAATACAGACCTCTCTCATCTTTCTAAGTAGGAGAACTTGCACAGTCAGTGGCTGACTAAATACTTTTTTGCTCCACTGTAGCTCTTTTGTCCAAGGGGCCTGAGAATGCATGGTTTTTGAATGGAGGAAACAGTAATACCCCAGAAATTACCCAATGTCCAAACCAGGGATTGAACCTAGGACATTATGGCTAAGAGGCAATAGTGCTAACCAACTTTGTGCAGCCCAATAAAAAAATAATAATAATTGGTTATTACTGTACTTGCCGCCGTAAACGTTGCACCTCCTTATAAGTTGCATCAGTCCAAGTATGTCTAAAAAAGTGCAAAAATCCATAAATACGTAGCGTCTATTATGCGTCACCTCTGACGCGTTGTCACCGTTGACAATCCGGAAATGTGGGCCGGTGTTGTGCCAAAAAACGATTGGCTGCCAAATGGCAGCTGCAGGAGCGTGTACGGGAGGACCCTAACAAGAATTTACCAAGATATCCACCTAAAAAACAATTATTTGTTTGCTCGAAATTATAGCAAAGGTGTGTCTCAGTTCAACTTTTCCTTAATAAATGCACTTTGACGGTCAAATCAGCTGCATTTCAAAAACCGATTTGCGGAAGCGGGAGTGTGCAGAGGGACGACTCACTGTGAATTTCTGCGAAATTTACCAAGATAACCACCTAAAATCAATTATTTGTTTGCTTGAAATTATAGCAAATGTGTGTCTCAGTTGAACTTTTCCTTAATAAATGCACTTTAATGGTCAAGTCAGCTGCATTTCTCCTGAGCGTCACAGCGAAATGAAGCTGATTTAACGTGTGCTCCAAGAGTTCTGGAGCGAGACGAAGGTGGCTTGGTATGGCAAGCCAAGTGTCTCATTAATAGCCACTTTTACCTATTAATGGGACACTTGGGTTGCCATATTAGTCATGCACCATCTATTGGCTGAAAATGGTAGCGTTCAATATTTTCCATGTCAATGTATGAAATCGTCAGATCTCAGACAAGAATTGGGTTATAGATACGGGGAAAAACACATAAATACGTCACACTGCTGTATAAGTCACAGGCATGCTAATTTATGCAAAAAACTGTGACTTATACAGCGAAAAATACTGTACTCTTGAAAGGAAAAATGAAACTAGTTAAACATTTTAGTTTAAATAGTTTAATTTCGCCCCCCTCCCCATTATAGGTGGAAAAACTATTGAAACTATTGAACCTACAAAATGTGGCACACAGGACGCTGACTAACACTGTGCTTATATCTACTGGTAATCATTCCTAAAATAAATGTGTCAACAGTTGAGCGCAGACGCAGGGACAAGATTAACAACTGGATTGTGCAACTTTCAAAAACCATTCCTGAGTGCAACGTTGACTACACCAAAACAGGCCAGGTGAGCTCTGTAGGCTGAGTACTGGTGACTCAGGATCCTTTCTTTGTATGGCTGTAATTTATTTAGGCTCTTGCTTGTGTTTTGTTTCAGAGTAAAGGCGGGATCTTATCAAAGGCCTGTGAGTACATCAAAGAACTGCGACAAAGCAACTTGAAGTTAGGGGAAGATATCAGCATCTTGGAACGCCTGCAAGTCGACAACCAGCTACTCAGACAGGAAGTATGTCATCCTGCGCTGTGTGTTCAAGATAATCTCAAACCCGTGGCACTTTTTGATAATGATCTGTTAGGGTGGCTGCGCATCCTTAAAACATTTTAAATTCACGTATCTAAAATTAAGGCCTTACTATGTCTTAAATTTGTTTAAAAAAAATTAAAAGTTGGTGTCTCGTGTTACTTACGTTACTCAAAGATCTTAAAATTTGTCAGGAGGGAGACTTCAGTCTGTCGCCAGGACGGATTTTTGCCATCTGTGAAAAATGAGGAGGGGAAGAAAACGTGTTTAAAGCCGTCCAATCTAATGATGATAAATTTATGCTGCTTTCAACCAGTAAAGAGAAGCAGAGCCACAGTTTGACCCAGTTAGAGCAGAGCAGGTCGGGTCATGCTGTCCGATATATGATGAGTCCAGAACAGACAGACTGCAGGTGAGAGCACCAATCAGTGTTTCCAGAACTTTTTTCCTAGGAGGACATGTCAAGTTCATGTCAATTTTATTGTCATTACCATCACATGTGGTACATGAGGTGGAACAAAACTATGTACTCAAGGTCCCAGTTACACCCAAAAATAGCAAATATAAAGTATAAAAAGAAACAGTAAATAAGGATCTAAGATATACACTAAACACTAATAATGTAAAACAGTACGTTGTAACAACAGCAGCCCGAACATGAGTCTGTGATGAGCAGATGGGGATGAATGAACACAGAAGTATGAGACAGTCAGCAACATAACATAATCAGCAGCATGAGATCAGCAACACAGATAAGTCACATATCACCAATTAAAGTGGCATTCCAGTGATTTTTTTTTTACTTGGTGATTTTCCTGGATAGTGGACTGAGAAGCTCAGTCCTCACCTCCTTCTACAGGTGTGCAGTGGAGAGCATCCTGTGCTCCAGCATCAACATGTGGCATGGAGGCTGCACAGCTGCAGAAAGAAAAGCTTTGCAGAGAGTGGTGAAGGCTGCACAGAAGATGTTGGAGTCAGTCTCCCCACCATCACAGACATCTACACCTCCAGATGCAGGAAGAGGGCCACCTGCATCATGAAGGACCCCACTCACCCAGCACACACACTTTTTGCCCCGCTTCTCTCAGGCAGAAAGTTGGGGAGCATTAAGTGTAGAACCATTAGACTGAGGAACAGCTTCTACCCTGAAGCTGTTATACTCATGAATCTCTAACCTAACTGAAGGAGCTGACATGTAATCAATTATTAAATGTTTATGTATTAAACGTGTGTTCACATGTGACCGATTCAAGGGAGCCATCTTCCTGAAGAGAACTCTTCCATCATTAAACGGGGCGGAGGCCTCCATGTCCAACTGTCCCACTCTTACAATGTTGCTATTGCTAGTATCACTCAGCCATCTTTGAATAGTAACC